GATATTTCCGTTATATTTTAAAATTTCATTTCCCTAGTGAATAAAGGTATGCATCTTTTTATGTTTTATTTGCCATCCAGATGTCTTCTTTGATATAGTGTCCAAGTCTTTCTCCCATTTTTTTCTTTGGGTGTTTGTGTTATTACTGAGTTTTGAAAATTCTCTATAGAGTCTGGACAAAAGTTCTTTATCATATTTATTTGCTTCACAAGTGTCTTCTCCCAGTCTAGAACTGACCTTTACATTTTTTTCACAAGGCCTTTTGGAGAGCAGACACTTTTTATTTTGATAAAGTCCAACTTATCGATTTGTTCCTTTATGGATCTTGCTTTTCAGTTCAGTCACTCATTCATGTCTGACTCTTTGCAACCCCATGAACCGCAGCACGCCAGGCCTCCCTGTCTATCGCCAACTCCCGGAGTTTACTCAAACTCATGTCCATTGAGTTGGTGATGCCATCCAGCNAGCTTGTGCTTCCTCCAGCCCAGCGTTTCTCATGGTGTACTCTGCATATAAGTTAAATAAGCAGGGTGACAATATACAGCCTTGACGTACTCCTTTTCCTATTTAGAACCAGTCTGTTGTTTCATGTCCAGTTCTAATTGTTGCTTCCTGACCTGCATACAGGTTTCTCAAGAAGCAGGTCAGGTGGTCTGGTATTCCCATCTCTTTCAGAATTTTCCACAGTTTATTATAATCCAAATCACAAAAGTTTTCTCCTATGTTGTCTTCTAGAATTTTTAAGGAATTAGATTTACATTTGGATCTGTAATTCATTTTGAATTAATTTTTGTATATGGTACAAGTTATGGTTGAAGGTCCTATTTTTTTTTTTATTCTCTCAAATCTGCACTTTTATGTAACTTCTTGTAAAACATTTCCATGATTATTTTTGTGTACTCATCTCAGTGTAGAAGTTCCTATTTTTTACATATGGATATACAGTTGTTCAAATACCATTTGTGTAAAATACTGGCCTTTCTCCACTGTGTTTCCTTTGTACCTTAGTTGTAAATTAGTTGTCCGTGTATGTGTGGGTCTGTCTCTGGATACACTGTCTGCTCTGTTGATCTGTTTGCCTGTTTTGGCACCAATAATACATTGCTTTGATTACCAAGAAATTTTAAGTCTTAAAATTAAAAAAATTTTTTACTAGTACATTTCTATATAAATTTTAGAATCAAAGTTTCAATTTATATATATTTTTAAAGGCCTGTAATTTTAATTGCATTGTGTCTATAGATCAATTTGAGCAGAATTAAGTCTTAACAATATTGCATCTCCTAGCCTATGATCACAATAAATGTCTTAATTACTCTGCATTTTTTGTAGGGTTCTGTGTATATGTCTCAGACCCCTTTTGTCAGATTTACTCCCAAGTAGTTCATATTTCAAATAGTATTATATATGGTGTTCAAAATTTTTTTTAATTTCCAATTGATTATTGTAACCAATAGAAATATAGATAATTTCCTATAACTGATCTTGTATCCTCCAAACTTGCCAAGCTACTTATTAGTTCCAGTAGGTTTTTTAAAGATTATATTGGACTTTCTACATACAGTCATGTCTTCTGGGAAGAAAGAAGACAGTTTTACTTCTTCCTTTCAAATCTGGTTGCCTTTTATTTCTTTTTTTCCTTTATTGTACTGGTTAGAAGCTCCAGTACAATGGTAAATAGAAGTAGTGAGAGCAGACATGTTTGTCTTGCTGACTTTATGGGGAAAGCAGTTTTCAACATTAAGTAAGATATTGATGGTTGTTTATCAGATTAGTAAATTCCCTTCTATTCCTAGTTTGCTGAGAGTTTTTAAATTACAGATGCATGTTGAATTTTGTTAGACCCTTTTTCCACATCTTTTGAAATGATTATATTGTTTTTCTTTTTTAGGATTTAATATAGTGAATTACATTATTTCCTTAAGATTAATACAATCTTGATTAAGTAAACTTCATTTGGTCATAATGACTTTATACATTGTTAAATTAAATTTGCTAAAATTCTGTTTAACTTCTGCCGTCTGTGTCTATGTGTGATACTAATTGCTTCTCTTTTCTTGTTATGTGTTCATTTAGTTTTGGTGTCAGGATAGTGATGGCTTCAGAGAATGAGTTGAGAAGTATTCCAGTCTTTTAACTACAAGTTCAACTTCATTCATAAATGTAGGGCTGTTCAGCTTCTGTGTATCTTGAGTGAGCTTTGATGATTTTTGTCCTTCAAAGACTTTGTATTAGTATAAAGTTGCTTCTTACCCTTTTATTATCTGTAGAAACTGGGCAATGTCTCCTTTCTCATATTAATATTGGTAATTTATGTCTTCTCTCTGATTAGTCTAGTTAGAGGTTTTTCGAGTTTATTAATATTCTCAATGTTCCAGCTTTTTTGTTTTCATTGATTTCTCTTTATTACTGTTTTCTATATTATTGATTATCTTGATGCTCTTTATTATTTGTTTTATTTACTTAGGGCTTACTTTACTCTCTTATTTCTGGTTGCTTTAGGTGAGAGTTATGGATGCAACACATCTTTCTTCTATTGATATAATGGCCCTTTCTGCCAATTTAATATCTCTTTTGGTTGTTTCAGTCATGTGATTTTTTTCCCCTCATTGTACGTCATATTCTTCTGCTTATTGAAAAGCCTGGTAATTTTTGGTTGGATGCCGGGTAGTGTGAAATTTATAATGTTGATTGAGTGCTGAATATTTTTGATTTCATAGAACTGTTCTTAATATATGTCCTGGGATGCATTTAAGTTAACTGGAAACAGTTTAATCTTTCAGATATGGCTATTAAGGATTTGTTGGGTGGGAATGGAATGGTGTTCAGTCTAGCACTAATTACTCATTGCTCCTGAGATAAGATTCTGCTCGGTGCCCCTTGAATTGTGATGTTTAAGTCTGCCTGATAAGAGCAGGAGTGTTTCCAACCCTGTGGGATTGCTGGGCACTGTTAGCCTTAATCTTTTCACCTCCTCCTTTTTCCACCCTCAGGTAGTTTCCTTGCATGTGCTGATCAGTACTCATCTGAATATTCAAAGGGGACCTTCAGCAAATCTCCAGAGTTCTCTGTACATTATATCTCTCTCCCCTAAGGTTCTCTGTCCTGTGAACTCTTGCTGTTGTGGACACTCTTAGTTCCTTGTCCTCAAGTTAAGGTGCCTAACAGGCTGTGACTGAGTTAACTCTTCTCTTCAGTCAAGTCTTTGCTCAAATGTCTCCTTTTCAGAAAGACTTTCTTTGATTATGTTATCTGAAATGGTACAGCTCTCACTCCCCTCTTCACTGTGTTTTAGCATATGTGTATTTTTTAGTTGTCCATATCTCCTCAGGATAATGAGCTCAATTCTGATCTTAAGTATGTACCTAACAGAATTTCATGCTCATATGTACCAAATAATATATATGACAATGTTCATATAGCCCAGCCCTAGAAACAGCCCATACATTCACCAGTACTACCCAGCAATGAAAATGAATAAACTATAGTACATGCAGTAGCATGGGTGTATCCCGGAAAGATAATGTTGACAAAAGGAGCCAGACACAGAATTTGTCATGCTATTGAAGAAGGCAAAGCCAAACTATACTGTTAGAATTTGAAAAAATGCTTTCTTTTGAGATACAGGTTTTGCCTAGTAGGAAGGCCAGTGTGGCCTCCCGAGGTTCTTTTTCTTGAGCTGAGTGGAGAAACTGAGTAAAATTAATTGAGTTCTAGGTCAGATATTATCTTCTCTCTTGAACCTTCTCTAATTCACTGGAAAAAGTCAGTTCCTCCATTGTCTCTGACCCAAAATTAGAATAGTTATATTGTTAATTATATCATAATTATTACACTTTTCAAGGGAAGGAAGTTATTTTTTTTTTTTAATTTAAGTATCTTGACTTGTGTATAGTAAGTGCCCTGGGAATATTTTCTGATGAAATAGTGCCCAGTCACTCTAGTATCTGACTGTTTACTGCCCCATGGACTGTAGCCCGCCAGGCTCCTCTGTCCATGGGATTCTCGAGGCAAGAATTCTAAAGTGGGTTGCTATGCCCTCCTCCAGAGGATCTTCCGACCGAGGGATTGAACCCATGTCTCTTACATCTCCTGCATTGGCAGGCAGATTCTTTACCACTAGCACTACCTGGGAAGCCCGTTTTCTGATGAAAGGAATGAGTAAATGTAGGAACTTGTAATGAACAAAGAAGGCAAGGGCTTCTGTCTTCCAATTCTGTACATTCTTATTGCCTGTCTCTAGTCAAGCATAGAGAGATTACCTCGTGTTGTGTCTGGAGAGTCAAGGTTTGTTGGCACCTGTTTGTCATTAGAGAAGAAAGGTTGTTGAGACTTTTAGGTAACCTGGTGATCTCAGACAGGAAATGGAAAGAGATTGGACACCTGAGTTTTAGTAACCCTGTAAAGCTAAAGGAACAGGAATGTCTCTGCCTTCTGGTTATGAGTGGTTGTAGGGAATAGTATGTGACTTGGCTTATTCAATAGACCTTGCCAAAAATATTTTCTCCACAAGTTTATGGAAGGACCCAGTTAAGTTATCTGCTACCATTAAAAATATGTTTGCTCTGTTGGGTGTTTTCCCCACACAAAAATTCTGTTAAACCAAGGTAGTATAACTTAACAGAGTTCTCTTTGTTCCTTTTAATTTTGAAAATTTCAATAAACATAAACTTAGAAAGGGTAAGAAAACGAGGATAAATGGAGCTTACAAAGCAAATTGTGTAGACCCAACGGAAGAAATTCCTTCCAGTAAGTTTGTCCTTACTGGCAATGCCTGGACCTCAGTGAAGATTTCAGCTCAGTTCCAAATGATAAGTCTAAATTTCTGTGCCAGATTTTATTAAGGAATCCAGGATAGCATCTGTTCACTTTGAAAAGAATTTTGGCAATTCAGCAGTGTCTTAAAATTCTAAATGTATATTTTGATTAACACATTTTTATTGGCACATATAGTCATTTCCTTTTGGCTAACACTACTGTGAATGTGTGTCTTTCTGTAGCTGTGGTGCTCCCATTCAAGTTTCTGAGGTGAAGCTGCTTTCCTTTTCATCAGGGCAACTAACCGTTTTCCTCCCTGCTGAGGTGAAGGCCATAGGGACAGAGAAGGATCACGTCCTGCCTCTGCAGGAGCTGGCCATGAGGACTCTGCATCACACCTACCACGCTTCTCTAAAAGGTACATGGGACCTCTCTTCCCCGCCCCCCCCCGCCCCCGCCTTCTTATTCAGTGAGCTTAGGGATTGTGTTTTATGCTATTTTGATGTTCACTTTCAAAATTGTGGTAAAATGTACCTAACATAAAATTTACCATCTTTAAGTGCTCAGTTCAGTGGCATTAAGTACATTTGCCCAGTTGTGCAATGGGACATTTTTTTAAGAGAAAAGTTTTAATATTTCGTCAACACTGATCCCTTCAGCAACCCCTACAGACACAGAAAAGCATTCACTAGCTATGGTGTTCAGTCAAAAGAACAGGTTGCATGTTAAACTATGTGGTTGAAGTTGAAAGAAATTGGTTTTGGGGAACACATATTTGGTAGAAGTGAGAAGACTGACAGAGGTACTTTCTTCCATAATAAAAAATGTGCAAAGATCTTACCCCTAAAGCAAAGTTGGTACTTCTTCCAACATAGCAGGTTTTTTACTTGCACCCTCCTCACATCTGAGAAATTTATTGATGTAAAGGGAAATTAATTCCAGGACCCTTTGGCAGTATTACCACAGGATGCCAACTCTTGGTTTGGAAAGTCTTTGGTAGTGTATATATGTCGTAGGTGATGTGGAGTTGACCTGAGATGCTTTAAAAAAGCACTAGGCAATGTTCATGAGAAAATACATTTCAAGTGTTTTTAAAACTGCTAAGTGTTTTGTCCTTGCTTTTAAAAAAAGAAAAGTTCATACAAAAACATCTAACATTAACCTCCCAGGAATGTATTAAGTTGTTTTCAAAAACTGAACAGAAAACTGAAATTATTCACCTATGAACAAATTACATTTTTCAAAATGGCTATTGATAAGTCTGGACAGATACAGAAGATAGTAAGATAATTTGTATTTCCTTCCCAAAGATGATTCAGTGAATTTTAGGTGTCACCTCATCATGACTATTTCTCTCTCTCCTGGTGTTCACTGTCAGTAGCAATCCAGGGTACATTTGTGCTCAGGATTGCCCAGACCACTAGGATATTTTGCTTTAAACATTTCTTTTGTGTGCTCAGACTAAACTAAGGAAAAAACATCCCATTTTTATTAATGACAGCTCGCAGAAGGGAGACAGGGAATCATTATTTTTCATTTTCTTTGATTTCTTTGTTTCCGCTTTTCATTCTTTTCAGTAAATGTAATTTAGCTTGAAACATTCTAAATCCCCCGTAGATTTAGGAGGAACTTAATGAACGTCTGTTTCAGTCTTCAGTCGCAGTCCTCTTTTTATTCTCTGTCTCTTACAGAAGTTTGCAGGCCCTCTCTGGGTAAACCCAACAACCTTTTTGGTCTTTGTTCTTGAAGAATATTTGGCCTTACTCTTTCCTTGCTTCCACCTCAGGACAGCTCAGGTCGCTCTTAAAAGAATAGACTTAGGGTTTCTCTTAGTGTCTAAAGTATAAAAAAAAAATTTCATTTCCGAATAATGTTATGTTTTCATTCAATGCCTATCAGATAACAAAACTTTCCACATGGAGTACTTTTCACTACCCGAATTTGCTTGTTAACAGTGAGACGTATTATAAAAAGCCTAGTTCGTGGATGTCTCCTTTTGCATTTGTGCATGGTTTTTCTCTTGTGTTCCAGATCTGGACTTCCTGTCTCCAGTCTCATTGCCCAGAAGCCTGCTGGAGCTGCTGCACTGCCCCCTGGGACACTGTCACCGGTGCAGCGAGCCCATGTTTACGATCGTCTACCCCAAGCTCTTTCCCTTGAGAGAGACGCCAATGGCAGGGCTGCACCAAGGGTAATCATGCCTGTGGGCACCAGGGCGGGAGCGTGGGGAGGGTGGAGGGCACACGTAAAAGTGCTGTCAAGTCAGCAGCTTGGAAGGGGCCTAGAGTGCTTCCTGCCATACAGCTAAATGAAACAAGTGCACATTTTCAGTATCATAAGAAAACTGGGTTTCCCTTTATTACATTTTTGGTCTTGTGAAGAATGGTTTTATTGTATATGTTATTTAGAGTAGCTCATTCTTTGGAGAAGTGTTTTCCTGCTGTTCCCCTATTCACAATAGTCTTTAGTCAATAAGGAGTGGAAGAACAAAATATTTGTTATATAATGGGTCCAGCCCAGCCCTTCTATTTAACTCACATTGCTAACTGAAAGTGTGTGGCTGAACATTGTGTTTGTGTTTCTGTTTTGAATTTCTAACACTTCCAAATGGCATTCTCTTGCCACTCTGTTTCTTGGCATAGTGCCTTGAATTTGCAAAGAATGTTAACTAAATAAGAAACTCCATACTGGTAGTTTAAAAAAGAATACCAGACAATTAAAAATAGGACATGAAATGAAAAATCCTCCATTAGCCCTGCCTCAGCTTATAGATTTTCTAAATTTAGAATCTTCTAAATTCACATTTTTCAAAGTTGGAAAAAAAAAAGATGCTATAATACCTCACTTATCTTCAAATGTGGTATTTTGGGTTAGTACATTTTTCAGGAAAACTTGTTACCCCTATTCAGCCCCAGAAGCGTTTCCTTTATAATCATTTTTGTAGAATGAGAGCAAGCGTGGGCAGGGTACTGAACCTCTCAGAGCCTCAAAATGGAGCTGGAACAGCCTGCTGGGCAGGGCATCTGAGGATCAGCAGACAATGAAGGCAAACACCTGGCACATAATGGGTGCTCGGCAAATGGTAGTTACCTTTTCCATCTCTCTACCCACTCTTTTCCAAAACTGCATTTGTCTTTTTCTTACCTAAATAATCCTATTTTGCTGTACTTTCAGTTCCCATTTCAACTTTCTGTAGCTTTAGTTTCCTGCTTCTTTACCGTGCCTTCCTCCAGGAGCCCTCCTCCAAACCTTACTAATCTCCTCCTTCTGATCAGAGGTGACCACATCACCAAATCAGAGCTGAAAGAATTTGGGTGTTAACCACATGAGTAAAATTAACAAATGAAGTAGGCACATCTGTAAGAAGCAGTAGGGAATATATTGATAATGCACCGGCCATGATTCTGACTCCTTCCCTGGGAGATCTTGGGCAAACTGACATAACATTTCTGAGCTTCATCTTTTCATCAGTAAAATGAACTTAGTAATCATGTCTATTTAATAAGGTCATTGTGAGGATTAAATGAGATTATTTTATATAATGAGTGAGCCCAGGATGGTACCTGGCATGTAATACATATTGAGTAACTATTAACTATGATATCTTTTTGTAGCTCAAAAACTTTTAAAAATTTATTTTGTGTATGTGTCTTTAGCAAATGATCTTTATATTAGATATCATTATAGGAAAATCTTAAATTCATTAAACTATAGTAAAATCCTCTGCATTGTTGTTGCACAATTTCCTATAGAGGACATTTCCTTACTAAAAATGTGAAAATGAAAACAATACAGTATGGTAAGGATGCTCTGTTAGTAGTTGATGAAATTCTAAATACCTATTTAAAAGATAAATTTTAATTTCATCATGATAATTAATTTGTGAAAATAAAGTAGATCCTTCAAATGAAGTCATTTTTGTGTTATCTTTACATGAAATTTGGGAAACTTATTTGATAAGTATTTGCATATTCTATTTACTGCTACTTGTTTCTCTGCTTCAACTGGTATGAATGTCTTATATTGCTTTAGAACATAAATATAATATTGTTAGTTTAGTAAAATGAGTGTATCAAATACATAGATCTTAGGCAATGCCCTTTTGTTAATCTATGCCAGAGGTGCCTATGTTTGTAGCAAAAACTGAAATACCAAGATACAAACACGGCTTTCTGTGGTGAGTTAATGCTAAGATTTGAATTTTAGAATTTGTATATTTCATTTGATCCACTGGACTTTGCTCCTTCCGATGTTGCTATGGAGATTATATTAAAAGCTTCGACTTTAGTTCCTAACATAGTCTTTAAAGTACTTTCTTTTATAACTGAAAACCAAATACTTGAATATGAATAGCTTATTGCTAAAAATAAATCAATATTTTTAATATCATAAATTCTAAAAGGTCTTGACAATATTATTTTTAAGTTTTCTAATATATTCAGTTCAGTTTACATTGCTTGTCATAAAATAATTCAGCGTATCAGCCAATATCTAAATTAATGTGGACATTTGGCATCATTTTAAAGGAACATATTGAATATGCTTCTAAAATACCAAGTCTCATACAGTATTAGTTCGAACCTAAGTTTAATACAGAGTTACGTAAAAAGAAATCACAGTATTTTGCATAAACAGTAAATACTGAAATCTTCAAATATCTAGAGAGAGAATAATAGCTGGTATGTTCATAACTTTTGATCGCAATAAGCATAGCAAGTTTTCATTCCCCCAAATTACTATTCATTTATTGAAATGGAGAATGTCAACACAGAGGATTATTTATTACTAAAACACATGTCTGGCTTTCCCCACATGTGTAGGAGCCTTATAAATTTTGTATTTCCCAATAGGAAATCCAGCTACTCAGCAGTTTTTCAAGGGTATTTTATTCATTTCCTACGATGCCTCAACAGAATACCACAGAACTGGCTGTAGATGTTGTCTCAGAGATCTGAGGGCTAGAGATCTGAAAGGATTGGTTCCTTCAGAGGGCTGTGACAAGGGTCTAAACCTTGTAGATAGCCATCGTCTCCCTTCTCTTCACACTGTCTTACTTCTGTGTGAGTCTGTCTTGGTGTCCACATGTCCCTTGTTTATAAGGACACCAGTGACACTGCACTAGGGCCCTCCCTGATGACCATCCTAACTTAACTCATTGCACCAGCAATGACCCTGTTTCCAAGTAAGGTTACTGTTTTACTCTGCTAGGGCCACCATAACAAAATACCATAGGCTGGCTTAAACAAGAGAAATTCAGTCTCACACAGAGGCTGAAGTGTGAAATCAGGGTGTATATGGTTAGGCTGTGCTGAGGGCTCTCTTCCTGTTTTGAATTTAGCCATTTTCCTGCTGCCTCAGTTGGCAGAGAATATAATCACACACATGTACAAGGTCTCTGGTGTCTCTTATAGGGGCACTAATCCTGTCATCAGGACCCCACCATTATGAACTCATCTAAGCCTAATATCTCCAAAAGCCCCATCTCCAAATACCATCTCCCTGGAGATTAGGGCTTAAACATATGAATCAGTGGCAGGACGGGGGGACACAGTTCAGTCCATAGCAGTCACATTCTGGGGTTTTAGGGATTAGGACTTCAGCATATGAATTTAGTGGGATACAGTTCAATGCATAACAGTCTGTCCTCCAAAAATTCATGTCCTTCTCACAGGCATAATAAATTCATAACATCCCAACACTCCCCAAATCCTAACCCATTACAGCATCAACTCTTGAATTCAAAATCTAATCTTAAGTATCTAAATCAGGTATGAATAAAACTCAGGCATAACTCACCGTGGGACAGAACTCTGTGAATCTGTAAAACCAGACTGGTTATCTTCTTTCAGTATATGGTGGTTAGAACAGGCATAAGATAGACATTTACATTACAGAAAGGAGAAAAAGAGATCATGAGTTTCAGAAAACTCCAAAACCTAGAAGGACAAATGCCATTAGATTTTAATAGTTGAGAACAATGCTCTGGTTAGACGCTCTGTCCTTTAGACCCTCTGGTGTAGTGGCCTCACCTCTTGAGAGCCCTGAGTGAGGGCCCTGCTCTCTAAAACCAAGGAAGCTACCCCACCCTTTGGAATTCCCAGGGTTATTCTTCCCTTTACTTGAAAGCTTGTTTCCTGCCTTTGGAATCCCAGAAGTCTGACAGCATTTCTTTACCCTGTTGCGTCTCTGTCCCCTCCAAGCTATCAGCATTTCTGCTGAAATGGTTGACCAGATCCACAAGTCTCATACCTCATCTTTTCAGGTTGTCTAGCTAAACCCTTGGTGTGCTCTCCAGAACATGCTTTCTCATTTTTTGCAGACAGCCTGGGAACTTCCCAAATCTTCAAGTTCTGATTCCTTTTTGCTGAACAGCTCCCTCAATCTATCTCCCTCCTCTTACATTTTACTGTAAGCAGCAAAGAGAAACCAGGCCATGCCTTCAGGACTTTGCTTAGAAATCTCCTCAGTTAAATATAGGCATACCTCATCTTTTTGTGCTTCATTTTATTGCACTTCACAGATAGTGCAGTTTTTACAAATTGAAGGTTTGTGTCAACCCTGCATCAAAAAAGCCTATTGGTTCCATTTCTCTAACGGCATTTGCTCACTTCCTGTCTTTGTGTCACATTTGGTAATTCTCACTTGGAACTTTTTCATTATTTTTATGCTTGTGATAGTGGGTCTGTGATCAGTGATCTTTGATGTTACTCCTACTACTCACTGAAGGCTCGGATGATGGTTAGCATTTTTCAGCAATACTTTTAAGGTATACACATTGGTTTTTAAAAACATAATGGTTTTGCATACTTTTGACTACATTATAGTGTAACTATAACTTTTATATACACTGGGAAACCAAACAATTTGTGTAACTTGCTTTATGACTCTCTTTGCTTTATTGTGGTGGTTTTGAACTGAACCTGCAATATATCTGAGGTATGCCTGTATCCAAGATGATCACTTACAAGTTCTGTTTTCCATCCAGCATAACACAATTCGGTTGAGTCCTCTGTGCTTTCTAATAATGATGATCTTTCTTTCATTTTCCAATAACACATTCCTCATTTTTGTCTAATACCTTGTATTTGCAGCAACATCCTGTTCATGACAATATATGTGTTGTCTAAGACAGTAGAAGCTTTTGCTATAGCCTACATTTCATAGGATTTTTCCAGGCAAGAATACTGGAGT